AATTCTGTCCAACATATTTATACAGACATGCCAGCACACAAAATGCACCATACACACACTTGCCCTGTCGAGTCACTGCCACGTAGGCCCGGAGGGGGAGTGGAGAGAGAATGGGAGAACGCCGCCCCATGGCGCCCGGGACACAAAAACAAGAGTTTGTCTACGTAGGGAGCAACACACATACATATACATACACCACACACACACACACACACACACACAAAATGAGAGTTCGGGTCATCTGCCACGAGACTGACGTACGGCCGGGGAGAGCTTCAGCAGCGGTGTCTATTCCTGCCCTGGACCGAACGGAAGCAGCGGTCGCAGGACACACAGTATTCACCACAACACGGCTCCACCATCGTTGGGGGCTGAGCCACACACTTGTGACGAGCAAGAACGCCACAGCTAAGAAAGCAACGGCCACAGCGATCATACTGGCATGCTCCACGCTGCTCCTGCACACACACTCTCTCTCTCTCTCCCCCCCCCCCCCACACACACCCACCCACACACACACACACATACACACACACACACGTGCGCACATACTGCAAGAAATAAAGAGAGCATGAGTGTCAGATTCTTGCATAAGAAGTGCTTATCAGCACACACTTATACATGCACATGCAGGCACTCAACGACCAACTATGCACCATGCCGTATGTTCGTCAAACATAAGATTGCAATACCAAAGAACAACAAACAAGATCACTTACTTCGTTCTCCTCCAAGTGTGTCCTCCCCAGCCAGGCCATCTCCTGCATTTCCCTAGGCGGAATGTAGCCTACGAAATGGTTTCTCTAGACTTGGAGAAGATGCTTGGTATTCGCCATCTCTCCTGAGAAATGTTCAGCAAAAATTTCAAAACATACGACATTATTTCATTCGCTAATCTCCGCTACTCGTCGTCTCATCTGGCTTCAGAAAATGTTACGAGAGATAGGAGAGTCTCCAGCAGGCAGCGCATCCATCTTCAGGAAGTGGAAAGAGCAAACGGCATGGTCCTTGGTTGAGGTAAATGCTGAACGTTTGATTTGTCCCAACCAAGATCTCAGCACTTGGTTCGTCACGATTTTCGCTTGCCAGCTAACGTCTCCGCACTCCAGCTTTCCCATGTCGGTGTCACGTCCCAGTACACAACGGAGAGGACTACTAATAAACAGTTCACGGCACTAACAGCCTTGAACACAGTACTTCTTTCACTTCGTGAATACAAGAAGACAACTGAAAATGACACAATTCTTCACTGATCGACCTTCTCTCTCACGGATCGGAGCTAAGCCGAATGTGCGTCATCACCTGTAGTCGCCATGGAAACGGGATCAGGAAATCGGCGATATGGCAAGTTTCCCTTGCCGTACGCAAGCGAGAGATATACCATAGGAACCGATATCCAATTGTCTTTCATCTGAGCCCTACTTGAAAAATCGATGCACTTCCCCTTTAATCTACGCGGCCGTACCCACCCGTAGTCGTAGATCTACGCGTAGGTCTACCCTCAATGCATATGCAGCATGCACTGCACTGCACTGCACTGCACTGCACTGCACTGCACTGCACTGCACTGCATGCTGCGGAACGCGGTAGCTCGCCTCGCCGAAACGAGCACCATTTCCGCACTGGAGCTTCGTGGTGAAATATTTTCACTGCAGCGCTAGCTGTAGTTTCTTCAGTTTTTCATGCTACAGCCAGTACAGGCAGCCTGAAGACGAGTTGTTGTTGGCAGCGAGGGGGTGTTAGTTCGGCCGTCTGCTGCTTCGTGTCGAAGTTTGTTTGGGTGCAGGCTGTGTAAGAATCTGTGTGTTGGCCAAAGGGTTTCATCGAAGTTTCCTAGTGGCTCGGATGCTCCGTTCGACTGCTCTATACCGTCACGACGTAGAGACCCGGTACAGCCTATCCGGCCACGACGTTCGAAGTCGTGTCCAGGATTCAAGCAAACCGGGACTCCTGGCTGCAGGAGCGCTCGCCGCTGGACGTTCATCGTCCCCGTCTGTCATGGTGTTCCAGTGATTCTGGGTAAGTGGTTGGCCAGTGTTGTTCGGTTCTTGGGGCGTTCGTTCTCGTTTCCTGAACTGGCCGCAGGGCACCGGTGACGGTTATGCATGGCAGCATTGCCTCATGCTACTGTACTGTGAGCGTCTCAACAACTCAATGACTGTTTTGCTTGTGTACTGCGATTCATTGCGAGTAAAGTGCGGGGAATAGGTGAATAGGTGAATAGGTGAATAGCTGCTCCTGCACACACACTCTCTCTCTCTCCCCCCCCCCCCCCCCACACACACACACCCACACACACACACACACACACGTGCGCACATACTGCAAGAAATAAAGAGAGCAGTGTCCTCCCCAGCCAGGCCATCTCCTGCATTTCCCTAGGCGGAATGTAGCCTACGAAATGGTTTCTCTAGACTTGGAGAAGATGCTTGGTATTCGCCATCTCTCCTGAGAAATGTTCAGCAAAAATTTCAAAACATACGACATTATTTCATTCGCTAATCTCCGCTACTCGTCGTCTCATCTGGCTTCAGAAAATGTTACGAGAGATAGGAGAGTCTCCAGCAGGCAGCGCATCCATCTTCAGGAAGTGGAAAGAGCAAACGGCATGGTCCTTGGTTGAGGTAAATGCTGAACGTTTGATTTGTCCCAACCAAGATCTCAGCACTTGGTTCGTCACGATTTTCGCTTGCCAGCTAACGTCTCCGCACTCCAGCTTTCCCCTGTCGGTGTCACGTCCCAGTACACAACGGAGAGGACTACTAATAAACAGTTCACGGCACTAACAGCCTTGAACACAGTACTTCTTTCACTTCGTGAATACAAGAAGACAACTGAAAATGACACAATTCTTCACTGATCGACCTTCTCTCTCACGGATCGAAGCTAAGCCGAATGTGCGTCATCACCTGTAGTCGCCATGGAAACGGGATCAGGAAATCGGCGATATGGCAAGTTTCCCTTGCCGTACGCAAGCGAGAGATATACCATCGGAACCGATATCCAATTGTCTTTCATCTGAGCCCTACTTGAAAAATCGATGCACTTCCCCTTTAATCTACGCGGCCGTACCCACCCGTAGTCGTAGATCTACGCGTAGGTCTACCCTCAATGCATATGCAGCATGCACTGCACTGCACTGCATGCTGCGGAACGCGGTAGCTAGCCTCGCCGAAACGAGCACCATTTCCGCACTGGAGCTTCGTGGTGAAATATTTTCACTGCAGCGCTAGCTGTAGTTTCTTCAGTTTTTCATGCTACAGCCAGTACAGGCAGCCTGAAGACGAGTTGTTGTTGGCAGCGAGGGGGTGTTAGTTCGGCCGTCTGCTGCTTCGTGTCGAAGTTTGTTTGGGTGCAGGCTGTGTAAGAATCTGTGTGTTGGCCAAAGGGTTTCATCGAAGTTTCCTAGTGGCTCGGAGGCTCCATTCGACTGCTCTATACCGTCACGACGTAGAGACCCGGTACAGCCTATCCGGCCACGACGTTCGAAGTCGTGTCCAGGATTCAAGCAAACCGGGACTCCTGGCTGCAGGAGCGCTCGCCGCTGGACGTTCATCGTCCCCGTCTGTCATGGTGTTCCAGTGATTCTGGGTAAGTGGTTGGCCAGTGTTGTTCGGTTCTTGGGGCGTTCGTTCTCGTTTCCTGAACTGGCCGCAGGGCACCGGTGACGGTTATGCATGGCAGCATTGCCTCATGCTACTGTACTGTGAGCGCCTCAACAACTCAATGACTGTTTTGCTTGTGTACTGCGATTCATTGCGAGTAAAGTGCGGGGAATAGGTGAATAGGTGAATAGCTGCTCCTGCACACACACTCTCTCTCTCTCTCCCCCCCCCCCCCCACACACACACCCACACACACACACACACACGTGCGCACACACGTGCGCACATACTGCAAGAAATAAAGAGAGCATGAGTGTCAGATTCTTGCATAGGAAGTGCTTATCAGCACACACTTATACATGCACATGCAGGCACTCAACGACCAACTATGCACCATGCCGTATGTTCGTCAAACATAAGATTGCAATACCAAAGAACAACAAACAAGATCACTTACTTCGTTCTCCTCCAAGTGTGTCCTCCCCAGCCAGGCCATCTCCTGCATTTCCCTAGGCGGAATGTAGCCTACGAAATGGTTTCTCTAGACTTGGAGAAGATGCTTGGTATTCGCCATCTCTCCTGAGAAATGTTCAGCAAAAATTTCAAAACATACGACATTATTTCATTCGCTAATCTCCGCTACTCGTCGTCTCATCTGGCTTCAGAAAATGTTACGAGAGATAGGAGAGTCTCCAGCAGGCAGCGCATCCATCTTCAGGAAGTGGAAAGAGCAAACGGCATGGTCCTTGGTTGAGGTAAATGCTGAACGTTTGATTTGTCCCAACCAAGATCTCAGCACTTGGTTCGTCACGATTTTCGCTTGCCAGCTAACGTCTCCGCACTCCAGCTTTCCCATGTCGGTGTCACGTCCCAGTACACAACGGAGAGGACTACTAATAAACAGTTCACGGCACTAACAGCCTTGAACACAGTACTTCTTTCACTTCGTGAATACAAGAAGACAACTGAAAATGACACAATTCTTCACTGATCGACCTTCTCTCTCACGGATCGGAGCTAAGCCGAATGTGCGTCATCACCTGTAGTCGCCATGGAAACGGGATCAGGAAATCGGCGATATGGCAAGTTTCCCTTGCCGTACGCAAGCGAGAGATATACCATAGGAACCGATATCCAATTGTCTTTCATCTGAGCCCTACTTGAAAAATCGATGCACTTCCCCTTTAATCTACGCGGCCGTACCCACCCGTAGTCGTAGATCTACGCGTAGGTCTACCCTCAATGCATATGCAGCATGCACTGCACTGCACTGCACTGCACTGCACTGCACTGCACTGCACTGCACTGCATGCTGCGGAACGCGGTAGCTCGCCTCGCCGAAACGAGCACCATTTCCGCACTGGAGCTTGTGAAATATTTTCACTGCAGCGCTAGCTGTAGTTTCTTCAGTTTTTCATGCTACAGCCAGTACAGGCAGCCTGTAGACGAGTTGTTGTTGGCAGCGAGGGGGTGTTAGTTCGGCCGTCTGCTGCTTCGTGTCGAAGTTTGTTTGGGTGCAGGCTGTGTAAGAATCTGTGTGTTGGCCAAAGGGTTTCATCGAAGTTTCCTAGTGGCTCGGAGGCTCCATTCGACTGCTCTATACCGTCACGACGTAGAGACCCGGTACAGCCTATCCGGCCACGGCGTTCGAAGTCGTGTCCAGGATTCAAGCAAACCGGGACTCCTGGCTGCAGGAGCGCTCGCCGCTGGACGTTCATCGTCCCCGTCTGTCATGGTGTTCCAGTGATTCTGGGTAAGTGGTTGGCCAGTGTTGTTCGGTTCTTGGGGCGTTCGTTCTCGTTTCCTGAACTGGCCGCAGGGCACCGGTGACGGTTATGCATGGCAGCATTGGCTCATGCTACTGTACTGTGAGCGTCTCAACAACTCAATGACTGTTTTGCTTGTGTACTGCGATTCATTGCGAGTAAAGTGCGGGGAATAGGTGAATAGGTGAATAGGGGAATAGGTGAATAGGTGAATAGGTGAATAGGTGAATAGGTGAATAGGTGAATAGGTGAATAGGTGAATAGGTGAATAGGTGAATAGGTGAATAGGTGAATAAGTGATTGGGTGAATGGGTGAATGGGTGAATGGGTGAATGGGTGAATGGGTGAATGGGTGAATGGGTGAATGGGTGAATGGGTGAATGGGTGAATGGGTGAATGGGTGAATGGGTGAATGGGTGAATGGGTGAATGGGTGAATGGGTGAATGGGTGAATGGGTGAATGGGTGAATGGGTGAATGGGTGAATGGGTGAATGGGTGAATAGGTGAATAGGTGAATACAGAATAGTTGAATAGGTGAATAGGTGAATACAGAATAGGTGAATAGGTGAATAGGTGAATAGGTGAATAGGTGAATAGGTGAATAGGTGAATAGGTGAATAGGTGAATAGGTGAATAGGTGAATAGGTGGATAGGTGGATAGGTGGATAGGTGGATAGGTGAATAGGTGAATAGGTGTGGGTTCTCTTCACTCAGTAGAGTCGAGTCGAGCCAGCTGTAGTTCTCGGTGCCGAAAAGCGGGCTCACGCCCCTAACATGCATATTATGCCAACCTTGGTCTTGAGTTCCCTGCACAGTGAGGCTAAATTTAGACCATTTCCCCTGGACACCAATTTTTTTACCACATCCATCATTAGAAGATGTATTTTCATGACTGCTGCTCAATCAAAAAGGATGTCATTGCAATGCATTGAGCCGGCGATCCATTGCAGTTCCACATGGTGTTTTTTTTTGTCTACTACGTGCTGTGTGTACTTACAATGGGTCTACAAGTTCGAGGAAATACTGGAAAAGGAGAAAAAATCGATTTCAAAAGTTCCATCTCAATCCCTGGACTTTCGCAGGACATCCCTGGACCCCGGGACAAACACCCTATTCCCTGGACTGTCCCGGGAATCCCCGGACGGTTGGCATGTATGAACATGGCTACTTCCCGGTGTCTAACCCGCAAGAGCAACAAAGAAGTATAGTAGCCGACTAGCCGAAATAATAAATAAATAAAACGAGAGAGCTTGGAAGCTCAGGGCCCTACGCTATGCTTTTTTTGCCTAGCTCATCATGCATGCTATTAGAACTGATGGAAATGTTTTTTTCCATTGATTGTCTACATCAAACTTTCTCTTTGCCCTCGAGGGTAATACGACACCGTCTACCACCTTCATGACCTAGGCAAAAAAAGCATAGGGATATCATGAATTTTTAATTTCTCATTTTTTTCACGACAACCTGTGATTCGAACCCACACTATCGCACTGCATGCATTCCCCCGATACATTTGTACTTAGTTGGTATGCGGCAGCTTATGGGACAGAAACTTTTGCTCCCCAAGCTTGTGTATGTAAATAGTGTTTTATGTCGACCATGACGGCTACAATGCCCAACCGTGCCACAACGAACTGATCGGCTACATCATTGTATTGCAAAAAAGTATTCGTCTGTTAGAATAACATGCATGATGAGCTAGGCAAAAAGCATAGCGTAGGGCCCTGTGCGAAATAAATAAACTTTCTCTTTGCATTCGAGGGTAATACGACACTGTCTACCACCTTGATGACCTAGGCAAAAAACGCATAGGGATGTTATAATTTGTTCATTTCTCCTCTTTGTTTTCAAGACATAACCTAGGATTAGAACCCGCACTATCGCCCTCCATGCATTCCCCCGGCACACTTCGCATACATACTCATTCTTCCAAGTTGCTTCATGTTATGATCTTGCATTTGAAAGCCCTACTTGAATATTGTGGCCAGCTGTCTTTGATGGTACGGTACGGTACGGGACAGGTACGGGATAGCGCCAGGCATGCGGATGGCACAAACAAACAAACAAACAAACACGGAATTAAAGCTGTGTGGACCCTGGCTAGCGCCAGATGTTACTGAAGTAACGTCTTCTGCATAGCTATGGGAATAATGCATGGTTACACCCAATCGTCTTTTATTCGGGCACGTAATCACGATCGTTTGCACGGAAGGGCGTCGGAAACTCAAAACACCATACAAGCTGTAGATCTACCATGTGAAACCTTGTCACTGTGTGATAGTGCATGCGCGTGTACATTTACAGTCTACTTCGCTTATAACGACATTCAGCGGGGCATCAAAAAAGTGTCCTTATTCACGAAGTGTCGTTATACCCGAAGTCAAATTATATGTATTACAGTTAGAAGGGACTTTGCTCTGGGCATGGAAATGCTGTCGTTATTCGCGAATTGTCGTTATATCCGCAGTCGTTATTAGCGAAGTTGACTGTACGTGCATTTTCTTTTAAAGACTTACCAGAATTCCGAATACATAAGAACGTTGACTACTAGTCAGAGTGTTTCTATGCATGACGTGCGTGGAATATATTATGGTCTTATTATGGTCTTATTATGGACTTATTATGGTCTTATTATGGTCTTATTATGGTCTTATTATGGACTGTCACTTTGAAGTACCAGTACAGTCGTGGCCAAAGAAATGCGACCCGCGAATCAAACGCAGCTCCGCATTTCTATTTCACCGTACATGGTCGAATAACCCATCCGGGAGGGCCAGAGGGCTTGAGCCTTGGTGCTGCTTTCAGCTCCTGGTTCAGATTCCCCGATTCACATTGCAATGAACAGGGAGTGGTGCTTCCTTGCAAATTTGCTGAGCGGAGGGCTCGACATGCTTCTCGTACTCTGGACGCGCGTTTTCGACGTTGAGAGCAGCCAACTTCCTCAAGTTGACGTCATATTATGATGCAATGTGCGCGGATTATCAGACATATCCTGGACTTTAGCTGGGACAAATGGCACAAGGAAAAATGTGTGATGGTTTGATAAGCTGTACAAACGCTGTAAATCATTCGCGCAAGAGGAGCATTGCATCAAAACAATGCTGTCAACTTGAAATTCTGTTGGGACAAATCTGTATGCGGTAGCTGCCTACTCTTGGGGGTGATTCACTCTTGTCAATGCTCGGTACACGCTCTTGGAACCTTGCCTCCACTGAAACAAAAGTGTGAAGCGCTTTTAAAATGTTAGGGTTTCTTTGGAATCTGCAGGCAGGCCTAGTGGGATGGTCTAAGACCATGATTGAGAAACAGAGGGTACCAGGTTCAAGTCCTGCTTGGAAGTCTGATCTACTCACCTCCCACCGCTTAGGAACTGCATCTCATTCCGCGCCTTGATCCAAGAGGGTGGTGGCGTTCCTGCGGATACGGAAAACCGGGCCTTTGGCCGAGTCTCGCGCGAACCGTGAATTTTTTTTGAAACTGCACCGGCTGTAAACATTCTGAAGAATGATATCCATTTCTACATCACTCATGATGTGCCGCGTCTATTTTGGTGTGGTTTGTTATGTGTACATGTGCAACAGATGGTGACTGACGTCCGTGACTTTTTTTGTTGTCGCAGTCATGGCTACAGCTGCAGAGGTATGAATTGTCCACATGTCATTGCTTTGCCAAATTCTGAAAATGTTGTCTCAAAGACATCTTACAGTGTGCACATACATACACACATGTTTGCATGCGCACGTACACTCGCAATCACACGCGCGTGCACACACACATATACACACACACACACAAACATACATACACAGTACATACACACACATGTGTACACACACACACCCATACATACACACACATACACACACACACACACACATGCACACACGCATGCGCGCACACACACACACACACACACACACACACACACACACACACACACACACACACACACACACACACACACATACACACACACACACACACACACACACACACATGCGCACACACTACTACTACTACTACTAGCAGCATGACTGCCCAGATGGGTAAGTGTCACCCCTATGAAAAGGGTACCAGAAAACGGGAGTCGGATCACAAGCAGGACCGCGAATGTCTGGCTAGGTACTGCTGCCGGCGGAAATTGCGTTTACAATGTGGGCAGCTGAGGGGCAGAGCTGCTCTCTTAGCAGCAGATGGTCTCGCACCACGATTGCAGTTGTGACTCTTGAACCCGGCCGCAGAACGGAAGCATCGCTGACATGTTGGGCAGTGCTGCTGGCAACAAGCTGAAAGTGGCACAGACAGACTGACTGTTGGTATAGGAGAGCTCGTGACAGGCTGGCATCGATGAACAGAGTAGCCATCCTTGCTGCGGAACCACCTATGGCACTTCTGGCACTGCACTGATCCACGCTGGAGCTGGATGGGAAGCCATCTCTAAGTGGTGCACTTGTGCCGCGTTCGATCGGAGACCCGTGAGAAGTTCCGGTCACACACTGCGCAATGCACAGACTTGGGCATGGTGGAGCTTGACTGAGGGGCAACCCGTACTTCCCTCCACTGTTGGCGGTCCTGAGCAAGGATGAACCGCTGAGATGGCTGCTGCAGTGCAAACTTGAGGTCGGTCATCACACACACACACACACACACACACACACACACACACACACATACACACACACACACACACACACACACACACACACACACAAACACACACATACACACACTTGTACTTGTACTTGTTGCTCACTGCCAAAACTGGTCACGTGGGTCTCCCCGGGAGAGGGGAGAGAGACTCAAAAGAAATCTTGGAAAGATGATTCAATTGGCTATTGAACCGCCCAACAGCCGACACCCCCTGAAATCCCCAAAACTCTGGGTGGACTTGAAAATGATCCCACTTATGGGCTCACCACACCTCAGTTAGTGGGTGAGGACAAGGTGCAGAAAAAGGATTGACGGCATCAGGGTATCCGTCCAGGGATCCAACTGCAGTTACCCCCGCTCCCAGTGAAGGTAATACTTGCTACTAGTGTGGGTGGCCAAATCAGAGTGGATCTGATATAAGCTTCACTAGCACCATTGATTACACAAGAGTTAATCTAGTCCATGGTTAACAGGTATGTATACTTCAAACAGAAAGTATATGAACCCTGGAACCAACAAAGGTGGCAGGTACAACATTACACCTTCAAGCAACCGAGCCCGTTGGCAACAGACCCAACACAATCAGGCATAGGTGTACCCACCAACCGAACTGGCTGGCACTCACGCACATACACACACACACACACACACACACACACACATGTACCCGCTCCATGCTATCATTGGATGGTTAAAACGTGTGCCAATGCGTGTAAAGGGCCATCTGGTATTATTGATTATCTTCAGTAAACAGTAACGCTTCAATGTGGCCTACCTCAGCCAACCAGGCCCCTGAAATGGCAGTGGCCAAACGCAAGCAATAAGCCCATACGAATATATCTGCAGTTAGCCAGGGCTGTCTTGTCCCCCGATGAACACTTGATCAACACAGCATAGATCTCTGGCAGTGCTAAAAACAAAAACAAACAATAAACAGAACTTGCATGGCACCATGTATGCTGCTAAGTACTGGTCGTAGCCAGGGAGTTGTAAAATACTGGTATTTGACGACTCCCTGGTCGTACCTTACTGGCAGCTTCTGTGATTCTCAGCTCATGGTAAGCTAGCCCTTGGCAGATACTGCTGGCAGAATTTTTGTGTTCAGAATTTGGTACTTTATCGGGATGCTTTCATGCATGTTTGGTATGTGGAAAAAGAAATAGAGCAGAATTCAAGGCAAGGTGAAGTGCCTGCCATAAGTTTTGTATGGTTTTGCCAATTTCACTGCTTTTCAAGCAGAATCTGCCAATTTCACTGCTTTTCAAGCAGAATCTGCCAATTTTTTTAGCATTACCCGCCAAGGTCTACTGTATGCACTCTGTATGTTGTTATTGCAGAACCACGCGGTCAACTCATGGCCATGGTCAAGTCGAGTGTTCCGCGAGTGGATCCCACGCCTCCAAGCAACGCTCAGCTGCAGCACAATCCGCATGGAATGCCGGGGAAAAGGTTTGATCTCCGATACGCAGAAGAAGGAGTTGATGGCAGTAGACGATTCTGCCAAACACAATGAGCTTCTCCTCGATATGCTGAGCAGGGGTACAGCTGAGACTTTCCACACTTTCTGTAGTATAGTGCGTAGCACCGAACCTGAAGCAAACTTTTCAAAGTTTCTAGATGACATGCAGTCAGTGGATACCTTTGTTGTAGGTAAGTAGAAATTTTATCAGTCAGGTGACTGAGAGACACTCACAGAATTGTATTACATGTACAGCACGTACTGTTGGATAGCATTAGTACTTGGGTGACAATCTGAGAAACGTTCATGTTTGGAAAAGAAGAAGTGATGACCCTGGTGTTCCAGCCTCAATGCCAACTTGGGCAAGCCACTAAACTCCCCTGGCTTCAGCTGACTATGTTGTGTAATGTGGAACCTACCAGAACTTGGGCAGGGGAAGTTGGGCAGAGGAAGGTGGTGAGGGGGCGGTGTGTTGGGACGCATTGGGTTGGGATACGTTGGGGTGGGGAACAATAGGCATGGGCTCCGAGTGGGGCACAAGATGCCCACATCTCGGAAGGTTTTGGATTCCAAGGAGAGTTGGCCTTTCCCAGGATATCCAAACACCAGCGGCTGTACTGCGTAGCCGTGTCTTGTGGTGTTGTACATTCTGGCTGAAGAAGCTGCAGGCCTTAGCCAAGCATGTTAACAACTGAATTTGTTGTCCTTCTACCGGTATGTTTGGTGGCGCATGCGTGTGTGGTCTCCAGTTTCTCCGGAATGCCAAAAAGACTGCAATAAAGTAGTAGACCTGATGAAAGAGTTCTCAGCACCGGAACGTCAACGGGTGGTCCACACTGCCGAGGATGTGGCACGAATGCGCACGTCACAGACCGTCCTCGACAAGAGAAAGAAACCCATCCACTTACCACAGCCAACCTCGGCTGTGAACGTAGACTTGCTGAGCATGCGGAACATGGGACAAGGTGGGCGCAGGGGCTATGAGAGAGGCTAAACTGCACGTTAAATTTTGATGTGACGTGCAATTCTACGTCAAACGGGTCCTTGACGTGAGCTGCAGGTCTCTCGTGTTGTTTTTCAACGCGCGGGCCAAATAACGCGTCACGGCAAAAATAACGTCCAGCTTATCCCTCTCTTCTATCTACTGGTGTAGTGTTTGAACCCGGACCTGGAGCCAATGTTATCATGGAAAAAGAGGACAAAATATGCATTCAATCTACACATAGCAGTATGTGCATTGTTCCAGTGATTGCATTTTCCCACAGGTGGAGACGTACGTTAGTGATGGTTTTACTCTCTCATTGTTCTTGCACATTGCAAGTACTTCGTGTGCACTAAGCCATGACTCGCATAATTATGAACTTGAGGGCAAGGTGATTTCTACCCAACGTCATAATTACTGTATGCTGTCCGCTAGAAATTTCAAATTAATTTCAGTTTTTATCGTCCCGGTTCTGCTTTGGTCTTGATCAGAACAACGGCGAGCGGTATTGACTGAAATCGACCGCTTGGCGTCTAGCGCTAGCATCACTGATGACCGTGAGGCACAGGAATGCCAGTACCAGGGTCAGGTGACACGGGCGGACGGCCAAGTTGGTAAGCAATAGTTTGTACCGGTCTCTAGTGCATCACCATGATAATTATCTAGTCTGCAGATTGGTATTATTTCACCGACACCATTGCCATCACCCCGCTGGATGCTGTACCAGCTGGCGCAATGCATGGTGCTCTCCCCAGGGCTTTGTGGGTGCCGCATACTCTGTCTTCTCTGTAATTCTGTTCTAAGCGGCCCCTGATACATCCCTCCGTCTCTCCCACATACTTCTCTCCATGAAACAAAGAGAGCATTAATTTTAGTAGATAACATCCGGCTACATAAACTGGCCGTCAGTCATACCAACATCACTTTCACGACATTCCCCCTTGCCTCCACCTTCTCTTCTCCTTTCTGTACACCTCTCGGGAGGGGTGGGGGGGGGGGGAAGAGGTGGTGGTGGTGGGGGGGGGGGGGGGGGTGGTGGGGGGGGGGGGACACTCATGACTGGTGAATGAAGACAACATCAGCAATCTTTCAGAGACCTACCAGGCTGAAAACACCACGCGTGTTCTTGTTGTATGGCAATCGTCATGGACCAAACTGCAATCACTGACGAAGAGAAGCTTGAGGATGGGCGTGAATGTATTCTCGGTGCCGCTGGTGGCTTGTCTTGGCATGAGTTTGCTCAAACCTCTACTTCCCCCTCTCAATTGTCTTGTAAAACTGATCTGAACTGGCTTTCACTGTGTTCGGTGTGTCTGCCAATTTCGCCTCTTTCTCGTCTGTCGCAGACATATTGCCAGCTGATATACATAGAGAGTTAAGTAAGCACACTTGTTTCATCAGCATGGGCACTGGATCTGCAAGGGACAGCCGTAGCATTTCAGAGACCAAGCAGTATTTGAAGGATACTGGCTTCATCGACGACCACACTGTCGTCACAGAGACCACTGGCTATCTGGAGGTGCTAGTGAACGTGCCTGTGAACATACTGGCCATTCGTGGCAGCAAACGACTGAAGTTTACAGGTCAGCATGCGTGTGCTAGCATGATTGCGTGATTGTTTGATAAGGGTGGGTGGGTGAGTGGGTGGGTGAGTGGGTGGGTATAAGGGTGTAATGGTGGGTGTAAGGGTGATTGCGTGTGGATGTGAGTGTGGGAGGGTGTGGGCATTTTCCATATTCGGCCAAAACAAAAACCTTGTTTACGGTCGGCCGACCGGGTCATATTCTCCTAAGTCTGAAACATATTTTGGTCTGCGTAAGACCAACGCATATGGCCAATTGGTTTGCAGGCCTGCCTGCGAATCATGAGGTCCCGAGTTCGAGACCCGCGCTGGTAGCAGGGAGCGTGTAAAGACTTTTTACGTGAGTAAAGACTTTTTATGCGTGGTGAACTGCGCCGACACCCACGGTCAACTGGGTACTCACCGCTCGGAGTGAGGGTAACAAGGATGCAGTTTACAGGGTTATGGGCCGTTACACGCCCGATTGGTTGAGAGACTCACCTACTCTCCCCTGACTTACTTGTGAGGTCTGCATTCGTCACTAAGGTGTGCAAGGCATAGGCATAGTGGTGGCCTGCGGAAGCGAAGGCTAGTTTGTGTGTTTCTGAACATTCAAGCGATGCCTACGCGAATCCCGAATTATATTATTATAAGTGTACAATAGGTACCCGAGGAGCCTGTAAGTAGCTGCCAAAACAGCTCATTTACATCATGCATGCATGCCTACATATACAGTCATGTACATCCAGTACTAGACACCCAGTACTAGACATCCAGTACTAGACATCCAGTACTAGACATCCAGTACTAGACATCCAGTACTAGACATCCAGTACTAGACATCCAGTACTAGACATCCAGTACTAGACATCCAGTACTAGACATCCAGTACTAGACATCCAGTACTAGACATCCAGTACTAGACATCAAGTACTAGACATCCAGTACTAGACATCCAGTACTAGACATCCAGTACTAGACATCCAGTACTAGACATCCAGTACTAGACATCCAGTACTAGACATCCAGTACTAGACATCCAGTACTAGACATCCAGTACTAGACATCCAGTACTAGACATCCAGTACTAGACATCCAGTACTAGACATCCAGTACTAGACATCCAGTACTAGACATCCAGTACTAGACATCCAGTACTAGACATCCAGTACTAGACATCCAGTACTAGACATCCAGTACTAGACATCCAGTACTTGACATCCAGTACTAGACATCCAGTACTAGACATCCAGTACTAGATATCCAGTACTAGACATCCAGTACTAGACATCCAGTACTAGACATCCAGTACTAGACATCCAGTACTAGACATCCAGTACTAGACATCCAGTACTAGACATCCAGTACTAGACATCCAGTACTAGACATCCAGTACTAGACATCCTAGACATCCAGTACTAGACATCCAGTGCTAGACATCCAGTGCTAGACATCCAGTGTTAGACATCCAGTACTAGACATCCAGTACTAGACATCCAGTACTAGACATCCAGTGCTAGACATCCAGTGCTAGACATCCAGTGCTAGACATCCAGTACTAGACATCCAGTACTAGACATCCAGTACTAGACATCCAGTACTAGACATCCAGTACTAGACATCCAGTACTAGACATCCAGTACTAGACATCCAGTACTAGACATCCAGTACTAGACATCCAGTACTAGACATCCAGTACTAGACATCCAGTACTAGACATCCAGTACTAGACATCCAGTACTAGACATCCAGTACTAGACATCCAATACTAGACATCCAGTACTAGACATCCAGTACTAGACATCCAGTACTAGACATCCAGTACTAGACATCCAGTACTAGACATCCAGTACTAGACATCCAGTACTAGACATCCAGTACTAGACATCCAGTACTAGACATCCAGTACTAGACATCCAGTACTAGACATCCAGTACTAGACATCCAGTACTAGACATCCAGTACTAGACATCCAGTGCTAGACATCCAGTGCTAGACATCCAGTACTAGACATCCAGTACTAGACATCCAGTGCTAGACATCCAGTACTAGACATCCAGTGCTAGACAACCAGTGCTAGACATCCAGTGCTAGACATCCAGTGCTAGACATCCAGTACTAGACGTCCAGTACTAGACGTCCAGTACTAGACGTCCAGTACTAGACGTCCAGTACTAGACGTCCAGTACTAGACGTCCAGTACTAGACATCCAGTACTAGACATCCAGTACTAGACACCCAGTACTAGACATCCAGTACTAGACATCCAGTACTAGACATCCAGTACTAGACATCCAGTACTAGACATCCAGTACTAGACATCCAGTACTAGACATCCAGTACTAGACATCCAGTACTAGACATCAAGTACTAGACATCCAGTACTAGACATCCAGTACTAGACATCCAGTACTAGACATCCAGTACTAGACATCCAGTGCTAGACATCCAGTGCTAGACATCCAGTGCTAGACATCCAGTGCTAGACATCTAGTACTAGACATCCAGTACTAGACATCCAGTACTAGACATCCAGTACTAGACATCCAGTACTAGACATCCAGTGCTAGACATCTAGTACTAGACATCCAGTACTAGACATCCAGTACAGGTGGACTTCCAGGTTGTAAGGAGTACACAGTCTGTATGAGTACAGTCAGTGAACTGTGACATTGATCTATACCATGTGATTTATTATACATGTGCATCACTGAAGTACTGTCGTGGACATGGATAATCCGGTCGCACGTCTAGCGGCCCCAGGGCGCTGGCCAAGAAGCCGTAGCACATATCGCTGCTGCTGGTCGCATCGGATCAACATGATTGTGCACTGCATGCAACGACTTACGTTCTGTAGGTGCAGAGGGCCCCGGCCCCGGTCAATCGACTGGATTTCCATGTCCGCGACAGTACATGATTGTATGTTTATGCTTTTGCCCGTCACATATGATTTAAGCATCAGGATCATTGATCATAGCAACCAAAAATTTGCCCTAAAAATGTTTTTTCCCCGACCGAGCGAGTCTGTTTTTTTGGGAGGGAGGGGGGGGGGGGGGTTGCCAACCCGAAGCAAGCTTATTTTTGTTTGGCCACGTGACCAAGTGATCACACACTCCCACTCTCACACCCAGCATCATATTTCCGGTCTCCTTTTCTTTCTTTGCATCATCATTTTACGTGGTCAATAAAAACACGCTTCCAAATGATCAGATGTGAACAGCAAACAGGCATAGGTTACCTAATACATAGGAGCATACATTAATTAATGTGTATTGTCAACTCTTCGTACACTTCAGATAGTATTCAGTATGTGTCCTGTCTGTCCTGCACACCGATTGTCCATGTACAAAAGCTTCATCTTGTTCTTAACGAAGTTTTAATTTTAGTGCTAGAGTAGGAGTGAATAGTATCCTCCATATATTAACAGTACAAACCAGTGCTGAGGGGATGCGCCAATCCTTCATTCGTTATCCACGCATCCTAAATACTCTTCAGGGTTACCCATTGCTATCACTCCAAGCTTACTTCAAAGTACTTGCATGAAAAAGAAATCACCCCTTTAAGTCGAACTTTCCCATTTTCTTCTTTATTCGGTCTCTGACTCGATGGGTGTGTACATGCGTGAACGTGCATGTGTCACTGTGCATGCATATGCACTGTTATTATTCTGAAACAGATCAGAGGTCGTCTATAGTGAAGTTCATCATCGAATGTGAATATAATCACACGGTCCCGAGTTTCGTTAAAAGTGTCGTGAGTAATCTCCGTAATCTCCTTGGTGATGAGAGTATCCACGCCGACAGTGTACACGGGGAGAGTGGAGACACGGCGGTGTTAGTACAGATGTCTGCCAAGGCTCATGCAAGGCTCTGGGAGTTCTGTAAGGATCAATCTAGCCTGCTCGCTGGTCTGCACATTCTCGAAGTGTCAACTGTGGACGCAGCAGTAGTCTTCAATTTGCGTCCCACGGCATGCAGTGACGAAGGTAAGACGGATTGGTGCAGTAGGAAAATACTAGGAATGCACCGATAGCAGCGAGTCAACTCCTAAGCGTTAGTCCCATATATACAGCGAGTCAACTCCTATTAAAGCATTAGTCCCATGATGATAGGGTAGTCAGTTAATTCCTAAGCCTTAGTTCCATGATGATAGGGAGGTCATCACTAGTCAACAGACGACTGGCTGTCGTCTGGGAAAGTGGTTGGTGCAGGCATGTTTCGGTCCATGATGTTTGTCTGCACACAAGTTTTCTAGGAGACTCTTTTGACAGAACGAAGTAGTTTTCACAACCAAACAGCTTCCTTGATATGCTTCAATTTACCTCTGGAGCAAAAGGTCCGAATCTCTTTGCTTTCTTGTCCAGGTATTAATCCTGACGACCAGAAGCGCTTGGTTGAAGAGTTCTCCGGGAGATTTCCGTCCTTGGACCAGGATGAGCTGTCTGTCGCTGTGGCTGACCAACCGGATGTTGAGCGTGCAGTGATTGCACTGACCAAGCTCGTCTTCGATGAAGGCGAAGCATGCTTGAATGCACTGCCTGAGATTCTTGGTGGTGAGTTTCAATTCCATTGTTTTATGGTTGTGTTGCGTGTACTGTGTCCATTGGGTCCTGCTGTTTATGTTGAGAACCGGTGTGCATCAGCGATAATATTTACATCGTGTTATAAAAGCACAAACGCCGTATCATTTTGGCAATGTCACTGGGACCACAATGAAGAGAAATAGTGCGTTTTGCCGCATGGGAATAATCGGAGGACGGTTTGGTGCATGTATTGATGAACTTGTGGTCCTTCAGAAAAGCCTCCCTTTGTGCTGAACCTCCCGAGGCCATTGTGCTGGAAGTAGAATTTTCAGCAAGTCTGTGGAGGGTATTCCCCTATAAAGGTGATGTGTGTGCGTGGGGAGGGGGGGGGGGGGAGGAGGGGGACATATGAATCTCTCGCATCTCAGCACCAGCAACGTTACTCGCTGTTATGTGGGATTCACAGAAGCATTTTTACGATGCAATGCACAGTGCGACATCCGCGAAATTAGGAAATTCCCAAAACGCACCGATCGCACAGCTCAATCAGCCGTCACAACTGGCCCATCGCAGAAGTAGAGCTTGCCACTGCTTGGCTCAACTTCTGCCATGTGACATGCGATGTGATGTACGATTTTGACCTTTGCAAGAAAGTTGTACGAAAGGTTCAAGAGTTGCTTGCAGATTTGTGCAAGTTGTACCCGACTACACAAATGCCACAATGACGTACGCATTTGCATTGAGCTTTGAGGCATGTCAGCAAGGCGTCGTCTACTTCTGTGTATGGTAATTTGCGTGTATGCATCGTACTGCGGTGTCGCAGATCGCGTTGTTTTGCGCATAGGCTATGGGCAATACAACCCAATATGCGACACCGCAGTGCGATGCATACTCACAAAACAAAATGCAATGGTATGGGCCATAGCATTGCAAGAACGCTTCTGCGAATGCCACCTAAGATGTAAGGAAAACAAGTGACCCTGCAGTCGTAAAATTATGCTTTGCCTTTCCTGTTGCGGTCTTTCATAGGTGTGTCGGCAAGAAAGACAACTTCTATCCCTGCTCACGTTCACCGTACGTACAACAATATGGCTGTGATGAAGCCTTGGTCCATCAAAATGCACAATGCATATTAATCTCTTGCATCTAAGGGCCGGGTCCTACTGCGGCTCCGCTGCTCGTCATCCGCGGTTCGAAACGTCATCATTACCATAGTGACCGCGGCTCAAGCTAGAGCAGCGAGGCCGCGGCTCATTGCGATCTTTCGCTACGATTCTTGATCAAAAACTGCGAGCCGCGGTCGGGGCTCGACCTGTTTCCTGTACTTTGCATTGTTTTGTACGGGAAAATTTTAAAATCCAAATTTTAGTTCGTTGCGCATGCCAGAACACGCGGATTTTTTGATTTCGCGCTCGCAGGCAGGTGAGACGTCATCAAAAAACGTGGAGCACGACGGCGGTACCGCGAATGGCGAGTGTCAGTGTAACAGCGCTGCTCCGCTGCATGCAGCCAAAACCCGCGGAGCAGCGGAGCCGCAGTGGAACCCGGCCCTTAGCACCAGCAACGTCACTCGCTGTGATGCGGGATTCACAGGAGCATTTTACGATGCGGTGCGCGATGCGACAGCCGCGAAACCAGGAAATTCGCAAACGCACCGATCGCACAGCTCACTCAGCCGTCGCAACTGGCCCATCTCAGAAGTTGAGCTTGCCACTGCTTGGCTCAACTTTCGCGATGCTACATGCGATGCGATGTACGATTTTGACCTTTGCAACAAAGTTGTACAAAATGTTCAAGAGTTGCTTGCAGATTTGTACAAGTGGTACCCGACTACACAAATGCCACAGTAACGTACGCATTTGCTTTGAGCTTTGAGGCACGTCAGCAATGCGTCGTCTACTTCTGTTATTGGTAATTTGTGAGTATGCATCGCACTGCGGTGTAGCAGACCATGTTGTATCGCGCATAGCATTGCAAGAATGCTTCTACGAATGCCACCTAAGATGTAAGGAGAACAAGTGACCCTGCAGTTGTAAATTGATGCTTTGCCTTTCCTCTTGCGGTCTTCTTAGGTGTAGCGGCAAGAAAGGCAACTTCGACCTCTGCTCACGTTGATCGTAAGTGCACCAATATGGCTGTGATAAACGTTGGTCTATCACAATGCACATGTGTACATAATGTGTGTGTGTGTGTGTGTGTGTGTGTGTGTGCTTGCGTGCGTGCGTGCGCGCGTGTGTGTGAGTGTGTGTATGTGTGTGTGTTCGCTAGGCTTAATACACGTGCTGTTCTTTCTGGCCTCCCTCATGTCGCTCCGGTGGGAATTTCACAGGACCGTCAAATTATCTTGGTTTTTCATTTACATTGTAGTTTCAAGAAAGTGGCACCTCGGAATGTTGCAGCTGCTGCTTTCTGCCGAATAACTGATACTTGGCTGACCAACAGCTGCTGCTGTCTGGAGCACACGAGCAGCACGTTGAGCAAGGAGTGGTACTTTCTTGCAGGTTTGCCGAGTGGAAGGTTCGACGTGCTCCTGGTATGCTTAAAACGGCTATCGTTTGTCAGTCAAGTGTCAAGTCACTCGGCAGGAACGCCAACACTTGGGTCTGTCACAAACAGCATTTTCGAGCAAGAGAGTTCAGAATGTTGTGTACCTAAAAAAAGCGGTGTTTTCATCACAGTACGGAATAGTGGTAGCGACATCGGGACAGTGCAGAGAAATGCCTCAGGCTTGAATCTGTTTTCCTGCCATTCTTTTTTTCAATTCTTATTTTGTCTCCTTTCTTGCAGATCCTGAAGAGGCCATTTCAACCCATGTCTCTGCCAATTCTGAACACGCAGTAGAAATCCAGGGAGCTGACAATGAGCTGTCTCTCCGGCCGCAACTTAAGTCCCAGGTAAGAAGAGACCAGATGCAAACATCATGGGTACCGCAAGGAAAGATTTAGGTCTGGTCCTGTTTGGTGTGGGGTTGGGGGGGGGGGGGGGGAAGGGACATGTACCCCTTGAAACATTTGACGTGGAGTATGGTGCGCTGTTGTATTTCATTGAACTCTGAGAAATAGAAATTTAACCCATTCAGTGCCAAGGACGAGATTACTCGTCCTACAGACCCCCTCGCGATTGGCCAAAGACGAGATATCTCGTCCTCGTAGTGCGCACTACTATATCTCACTGGCCATGCACTATGATCTAGCTTGGCCGATTGTGGCTCTTCGAGGGGAAACTAGCGGTTTTCCCCTACTGAATAAGACCTCACTCGCCGTGTTTGAGTAAGTATGGACGCGGGAGCATACATTCAAAGCGCGAGCGCGAAAAACATATTTCGATTCAGAAACAATTAGATTGACAGAACGTACTTTAGGTCTCTATAGCTGTCACTCAGACACGGCGAGTCGTAGCATGTCGGCTGAAGAGGTGCTCCAGTCCATCATGGACTGGGACAGTGATGACTGGAGCTGCGATAGTGAAGGAGATGACTCGGATGCGGACATAACCGTCCGCAATCGTGACGGAACAAATTTTGCGGACGAGTCTGCCTTGGTCGATGCCGTACCTACTGCTGTGGCCGCCTTGGACGGCCCTGAGGATATCGGAGATGTCGATGTCGAGCTTGAACAGGGCACAGCAGCACAAGCTACGCCAGCGGAGGACAACAAGTCGGTTTGAGTTGATACGACTAATTTGAAAAAATCAGATTTTTCATGAAAATGGCACGGCCAACCGCGTGCATCTGGCCTGTCACTGAAATGGATAATGCCCATCCCTGTGCACCCAATGTACTGTTGAGACAAAAATGATAAAGACCAATCAACCAAACCCCCCCCCACCTCCTCCTCCTCCTAACTAGCATTCGTCTGCTCCACTCTCTATTTCTCTTTGGGCAAAAGACACAATGCACAATATTCTTCACTATTAGGTATAGTTGCAACTTGCAGTGAGGAGTGGTGTAGTTCGCAAGTAGCATACCCTGTCTGAAAACGCCTGCCATATCTTGATCAGAGCTGTGCTGGAAAATGTGCTCCGTCCACTTTTTTTAAACCCTTTATTCCTTTCCGATTTTGATATTCTGCAGTGGTCTTTTCGTGGCCGTCTACCTGGTAGCTGGAACGGTTTTCATCGTTGTACCATGTACAATGGGCATGCTTACATTGTGTGCCAGGAAGAGGAGGAAGGACCAATGATCTACCGGTCTACTCATTCTCTCAAGGAAAGTCTTCAGGTGGCATGGACAAGAGTAATCGCCATTGACAACCCACACTTTCGGTCATGCAGGAATTTTTGCATTCACAATGAAAAAATGTACTTTGCAAGTACAAGTATCAGTGATAGGTATATCCCTAAGATCCATGTTGTAGATCTACAGGGAAACTGTGGTGCTAGAGAAATACAATGTGATTGTATCCCAGTACAAGATACGAGTATGAATACATCTTTCAAGCCTTTTGCGGATGTATTTATAACCCAGTCAGCGCTTCTAATAGTATGCTTATGGTGCAATCATTTCTTAGAAGTTATTTCATTAGATACCAGACATGATGGTGCAGTATGGGCAAAATTGGACCCGCTCAGCATGCCGGAGCCGCCGGCCAGCATCCGCAGCACTGACAGTACTCTGTTTGTGATATCAAGGAGCGACCGCAATGGTGCGCATTTGTCAATCATGAAGTTGGATGTAAGTGAGGAAAGTCTGCGAATGCCATCATGGCTCGAGATCAAAGTGGACGTGCCTAAGACTCTTGATCTATTACATTGTGATGTAGTTGCTGCTGTGGGTAACACTATAATGTTACCCGTGCACTATAGAGATGATGATGATAGATGGGTCGGTGGTGTGATGTGTGTTGATTGTAGTACGTGTATAGGCCGGCGTTCTGTCTTGTCATCCAGTACATCCATTACATGGCAGTTGATGGTGGATGGCGATACACTTATTGCACTCGATTTTGATCACTTAGTGTCTACTCTTCAGCTACCCGACCATTTGTAAACGCCAGTGATCGATCGGCTTCTACATGCATGTATGCCAAGGCGGTGTACAACGTAGATATTCTGCTGCGGCTAGGTCATGTGATAGACAACTGGTGCACACTGTGTGTGTTTTTGTGATCCTGCTTTTTTTGTTTGCACATGCATACCCTGTTCTGCTGGGGACCCATATGCATGATGTGTTTGGTGTCCAGTTCTTTCAGGCCATCATTCTACATAGGCACTGTCCTGAAATGCTTATTGTCTATGTACATATTATACATTGGGTTGGAGGCATATTATGATTATATAGATATTATGTATATAGAATGCTGTCCATGGATTGGATATGATGTATTATATACATAGAATATTAGTTCTAAAACTCAACAGCTCTCTACACATACATACTCATTATAACTGTGTACATAATAGTCTTTTTTTGTCAGTGATTGACAAAACCCCAGAGGTTGAATTGGTCAGCAGCCACATTACTTCCTTCCTAGAAATTGAAGAACTGACTAATTGGCTCTGTGTGTGCGTGCAGATGTGTACCGTACATGTACGCATAATGGTAACGTTACACTGGTCCAGCCAGGAGTAGGATCACTTTGAGAATTATGTTACGTTGGTCGGTCGGTCGAGATAGAGAGAGTGCACGAGAGCGAGAGAGAGTGCGTGCGCGAGCGCGCGTGCGCGAGAGAGAGAGTGCGTGCGTGAGAGCGAGCGAGAGAGAGAGAGAGAGAGAGAGAGAGAGAGAGAGAGAGAGAGAGAGAGAGAGAGAGAGAGGGAGGGAGGGAGGGAGAGAGAGAGAGAGAGAGAGAGAGAGAGAGAGAGAGAGAGAGAGAGAGAGAGAGAGAGAGAGAGAGAGAGAGAGAGAGAGATCTGACAAGTGCATACAGAAAGGATTTGCGTGCATGTGACAAAAAGAAAAAAAGGTGCGGCGTTATCAAGGGAAACAGATGAGTACTGTCACCACAATAGATGAAAAGCCAAAGACGTGGATGGGGAAGATTTATCAAACCCGCGCATTACACACAGCACATTATACAAAGTAGAAAGTCTCAAGACTTGATCAACAAGCAGTGCCTTCACAACGAAGCACTCGCAAGTGAAGAGATGGAAGGAAACAACCGCAGCAGCTATAATGATGTATTGGCAGTCCCCCTGGTGGTGGTGGGGGTTAGTGCAAGAATATAAAAGTCGATGTCCGTTGCTATATGCTGAGCGTTATACACTGAAAGTGCTAGCTGCATTAGACCTAGATTTATAAGCAAGTAACTGCATGCGAGATTATCACATACTTCGAGTACGTGCTAGCTAAAGTAGGTGCGAGAATATCATACACATGCTGGCTACAGTAGAGCTACAAGAAAAGCACTGTACTCGAGAATAGCATGACGCTACCAGCGTATACAATCCAACATGGAGTAACTGATGAGGATATTCATGTGAGGTGACGCCTCTCTATCTGAGCACACGTCAGTCTGGCATCAGTTCTGCCCTTCACATGTTTCATAATCCCTACTCCAGTCGACCTGCATACACTGAGGGGGCTTGCAATTGAGACGGCCAGGCTTGATGTACATCGAGGGAGCTTGCAATTGAGACGGCCAGGCTCGACGTACTGAAAAAGGTTTGAAGTGAACTTTTTTTAACGGGACCAGCAGAGTGCTGGAGCGCGCGAGCGGAAGACTATTCTCACCTGTCACCTTCATGGTCACAGTTGACAAGGTGCAGAAGTCATGCATGGCTGATCACAAGCAGCTCATGTGTACATCGTGCACCTAGTAGCTGTAGATCTTGGTGCAGTGGATGTCCTTGTGGGCACACTCACGATTGCGGTTATAGCAGTAGAAGTAGCCGCTCTTCAGCTTCAGGACTTTCACCAAGCCGTTGGGCCAGCGATCCGGCTAAGAGGAACATGCAGAGCGAGAGAGAGAGAGAGAGAGAGAGAGAGAGAGAGAGAGAGAGAGAGATAGAAAGAGAGAGAGAGAGAGAGAGAGAGAGAGAGAGAGAGAGAGAGAGAGAGAGAGAGAGAGAGAGAGAGAGAGAGAGAGAGAGAGAGAGAGAGAGAGAGAGAGGAGGTAGAGAGACGACATGGAGGAAAACAACTTTTAATAATGGTGCCATAGGGACTAGTGTATGTTCGACTGCACGGTGCATTCAAACAGTGTAACAGTACAAAACATTACAATTAGATGCCATCAACCTTCCAGTTCACAATCTCCACAAATTGGTGGTCAGCACTCCATGAGAAAAAGTATCATTAGCTACAAGGCATAAATTCGTTCAGCTTACAAAAGATTTCAAAAGATCAACATGCCATCTGCCATGTCAAATATGGCTCGAAAGTGATAATTATTATCAGGCTGGAGTCAGCAAATAACGACTTCTGGTTCAAAGTCAGATCCACTGCGAGACCATAACGAAGTACAATGTTATGTACAGTATATTGGTAGGTAGGGTATTTATTTAACACCAGTAATGTACTTGTAACCACAACCAGTCGGTGTGGCTTATGCCACGATGGTCAAATTCACCGTCATGAGCAGGATAGAGGTCAGTATTTCGTGACAACAATCTAGATGCAGCTCATACCGCAAGTGCGGCGTATACTTCTGAAAATACTGTAGACCCCCTTTGCATGCAAGTGTGACTGTTGTCCGGGCCATGAGCCAAAACTAGATCCGACTGATTGGATCCATAAGTCAGTGTTCTCATGACAACAGCCTGGTTGCCATGTAGTTCAAAGTAGCACGTTCAAGCCCTATATCGTTCTTTGTGGATATAATCAGTTCAAATTGATAGTGATCACCATGGTAGATGTGTGTACATCGTAACAAAAAATCCGGGTGAGGTTTATACTCCACAAAATACTTTATGTGAATACGATGTGGTGGCCACTTCCATGATAATTTAATTGTTTTGATTTTTATAGGAAAGTTGGCTGTTCCCTACACTGGAGCGCTCGCTTTTCCGCCGACTTGACTTGGACTTGGGATCAAGTGTCAAGTAAAGTTGGCGGGAAAGTACGAGCTTGGTTGTGGGGAGCAACGGACTTTCTTACGTATGTTGTTGTTGTTTTTCAAATCTCTATTCTCGCGATGGCCAATGACCATTAAGAGATATTGTTGTGAATTCTTCATTCTCACGATGGCACCATCGGCAATTGTTGTTGTTTTTGTTGTTGTTGTTATTAGCACGAGTTATTAGCACGACGTTGTTGTTGTTGTTGTTGTTGTTGTTGTTGTTGTTGTTGTTGTTGTTGTTGTTGTTGTTGATGTTGTTGTTGTTGTTGTTGTTGTTGTTGTTGTTGTTGTTGTTGTTGTTGTTGTTGTTGTTGTTGTTGTTGTTGTTGTTGTTGTTGTTATTAGCACGAGTTATTAGCACGACGTTGTTGTTGTTGTTGTTGTTGTTGTTGTTGTTGTTGTTGGTGTTGTTGTTGTTGTTGTTGTTGTTGTTGTTGGTGTTGTTGTTGTTGTTGTTGTTGTTGTTGTTGTTGTTGTTGTTGTTGTTGTTGTTGTTGTTGTTGTTGTTGTTGTTGTTGTTGTTGTTGTTGTTGTTGTTGTTGTTGTTGTTGTTGTTGTTGTTGTTGTTGTTGTTGTTGTTGTTGTTGTTGTTGTTGTTGTTGTTGTTGTTGTTGTTGTTGTTGTTGTTGTTGTTGTTGTTGCTGTTGTTGCTGTTGTTGACTATATGTGAAGTTCAAAGCACCATATCAGCGAAACCTCTTACCAGATCTTCACCGTAAAAATGCTCATACTCGGTGGCATCGCGAAAGCCAGCCAGCTGAAACCGGTATGCTACAGGGAAAATGGACAGGTCACAAAACAGCGTGTACATGGCAGATAATTCTATGGGTAGACAGGCATAGTGGGGTGGTCTAAAATCATAGTAGATAAACGGAGGGTACCAGGTTCAAGTCCTGTTCGGTCTATTCTCGAATCGACTCTTCGGCCTATTCTTGAATGGGTTCCTGAATGCGCTGAGTGATCCTGATGAGATCTAATTGTGCCAAAGGGCGTTTCAGGGCCGAAATACCGATTCGTAGATCTTTCGTTTCCCCTCCTAACCCATACTAATCTTTATCGCCGTGGCTGGCTATCACCCACTCTCTTCAATTTGACCGGAGTGTCCACTGCGTCTTGAGATGTTGCAATACCGTATTTTCCCGAATATAAGTCGACCTTCTGTGCGCCAGAAATTTCGTCAAAAGCTGGGGGTCGACTTACAAACGGAACTCGACTTACATACGGGAATCTGGCACAACAAATGAAGTGACTGGAGTGTCCGTACAAAAATGCACTACCATACAAACCATGTGAACATTGAATGACACTGGTTTTGTTCAGATTGTTCAGATTTTGTCTTACTGGCATGATGATCTCTCCTCGCAGAGAATTCATCATGTTTTATGTGTGGGTGTCATAGAGCTATAAAAACTTTTTTTCATGAAATTGACTCCTGGATTTTGGGGTGGTCGACTTAGATTCGAAGTCGACTTATATTCGGGAAAATACGGTAAATAAAATTGATACAGTACGACTTACCCTCAAAGTTTTTTGTTTTGTTTCTAGTTTCTCATTTCTCATGAAGATGGATGCTAGTGTACTGGGAGAATTTCCAACATAATCTGCTGTGAGAGATGACGATGAAGTAGAGCAGGTCCCGGCATTCTTCCCGGTATTGAAGTATAATTCCAGTTCCTTTGCGGATGTGCTGGAGTTTCCCTGCAGCATGGCACCAGCACATGCATTGTTCCCCAACCCCATTATGTTTTAGTCTTGCCCACTCTCTCCATGTTAGATGTACTGCACGGCCCACAGTCCATTCAGAAAAAGACGAGCGCTGGCTCTGGAGAGCTCCCGTGTTTGGTGATTTTTCGTGATTTTGTGGTACACTGTGCAGTGCTGCGAGATTCGAAACTTGAAAAAGGGTCCAAAAAGGTGCCTCAACTGTGGTTCGAACGGCGAATGTACTGTTATGCAAGTGCAGAGAACAGCCTGGATTTTCATGTTTATTTCCCCAATTCAGTGCTTTGGGGGCAAAACCGGGCTGACATCCTATTCTCGTTATGACCCATTCATGGCCAAAAGCTAGGATATCATCTTTTTCTGAATGGACAGTAAGTAGGAAACCTTGGGTGCAGCTGAGCAACTGTGTCCCAGGACCGCGCCCTGACACTGCGGGCACTGCCGCCACTGGTACTGGGTGCAGCACCCAACGCGTTAACCGTAGATACATGTCGTCTTCGTGACCTTCTTCAATCTCCTTTCCTGTCATGCAAGAACTGTATCCTCCTCAATCGCATGCAAGTCAGGCGCGTGCTCGGCGATGGGCACGGGGGGCACGTGCACCCCCCAAAAATTTTCAATCTGGGTAATTGCAATTGTAATGTATGCAAATATGCTCTAAAATTCAAGAAAGGTTGCAAACAAATTGCAGAAAATTGCCGGGGGGGGGGCTCCCCTCGGCTCCCGTGCACCCCCCTAGTTGGGGGGCCGAGCACGCCCCTGCAAGTGTTTTATTTCAATGGGGGCGGGGAGGAATGAGTTGTGCAAGCCGAGGTCTCTTACCGTCTTCGACTTCCTCGTTCCAGACTATTCCTCGTTTCATGCTCTTGGACCGTGGTGCCGTCACGGTCGCCGCTCGTCGTTTCGGTGCTGTAGCAGCCGCCAGGGCCATGCCGCGTCGGCGGCTCGGCGCACTACACCAATGACATAATTTTTCCAATAATTTTCTTTTCATCTGTGTCACCTTTCCAAGTTTTCCCATGGGTTACTTGGACCTCATTCGCTTCCTTGTCATTGAACATGTGTTCAGTCAAAGTCAAACTAATAAACACAACTGGCCCCCAACCCTTAGTTAGCCTAACAATGACTGTCTGGATATACCGTTCTGCGGGCAGAGGTTGTATTACCGTTGTTATACACTATACTCTTTAGCATACATAACACTAACAGGCATGTCATCCACAAAACGTGACACGGACCCGTATCGTAGATCTACCCACCCGTACCGGCCAGGGCCGGCCACCCTCAGGCCTCACGGAGTCGTCACGCACTGCCGTTGCTGCTGCATGCTGCGGTAGATCTACGCGGTATAAATATTATAATACAGTCGAACCTCTTTAGGACGAACATCAAGGGACCGATGATATTTTGTTCGGAATAACGGGAGTTCTTCTTATCCATATGTTAACCCAGTGAATACACAGGGTTTATCCAATACAGTTACGAATACTAGTTCTTCTTAGGCAAACGTTTGTCTTATCAGTGTTCTTCTTAACGAGGTTTCACTGTAATTATAGTAATTAGTGGCTCATCTCGGCGAAACGGGCACCATTTCCGCACTGGAGCTTCGTGGTGAAATATTTTCACTGCAGCGCTAGCGCTAGATCAGTAGATGTAGTTTCTTCAGTTTTTCATGTTACAGGCAGCTTGTAGACGAGTTGTTGTAGGCAGCGAGGTGGTGTTACAGTTAGTTTAGCCGTCTGCTGCTTCGTGTCAAAGTTTGTTTGGGTGCAGGCTGTGTAAGAATCTGTGTGTTGGCCAAAGGGTTTCATTGAAGTTTCCTAGTGGCTTGGAGGCTCCATTTGACTGCTCTATACCATCACGACGTAGAGAACCGGTACAGCCTATCCGCCCACGACGTTCAAAGGCGTCGTGTCCAGGATTCAAGCAAACCGTGACTCCTGGCTGCAGCCTGCAGGAGCGCTCGTCGCTGGACGTTCATCGTCCCCGTTTGTCATGGTGTTCTAGTGATTCTGGGTAAGTGGTTGGCCAGTGTTGTTCGGTTCTTGGGTATTGTTGTTCGTTCTCGTTTCCTGAACTGGCCGCAGTGCACCGGTAACGGGTATGCATGGCTCATGCTACCGTGAGTGTCTCAACAACTCAATGACTATTTCGCTTGTGTACTGCGAGTGCGAGTAAAGTACGGTGAATAGGTGAATAGGTGAATAGGTGAATAGGTGAATAGGTGAATAGGTGAATAGGTGAATAGGTGGATAGGTGGATAGGTGGATAGGTGGATAGGTGGATAGGTGAATAGGTGTGGGTTCTCTTCACTCAGTACAGTCGAGTCGAGCCAGCTGTAACTCCAGTCCCGATGCCGAGAGTCCGGCTCACTCCCCTAACATGGCAACTTCCCCTTGTCTAGCCTCCAAGAGGAACAAAGAAGTATGGTAGCCGACTGGTCGAAATAATAAATAAGTAAAGCATGGTTACACCCACTGGTCTTTTATTCGGGCACGTAATCACGGTCGTTTGCACGGAAGGGCGTCGGAAACTCAAAACACCATAACCCACTGGTCTTTTATTCGGGCACGTAATCACGGTCGTTTGCACGGAAGGGCGTCGGAAACTCAAAACACCATACAAGCTGTAGATGTACCATGTGAAACCTTGTCACTGTGTGATAGTGCATGTACTGTAGCGGACATGGAAATCCAGTCGATTGACCGGGGCCGGCACCCTCAGCACGTACGATGCGACCAGCACGCTGGGCTGCATCACATACTAGTAATGCACGTTCCGCTTATCCACGGCTGCATGGCCAGGGCCCTGGGGCCACTAGACGTGCGACCGGATTTCCATGTCCACGACGGTACATGTACATGATATTAAAAGTCTGACCAGAACTCCGTCTACAGAGGAACGTTGACTACTGGTCAGAGTATCTCTATACATGGCGTGCGTGGAATATATGGACTGTAACTTCGAAGTATATGTACCAGTACAGTCGCGGCCAAAGAAATGCGACCCACGAATCAAAAGCAGCTCCGCATTTCTATTTCACCGTGCATGGTCGAATAACCCATCCGGGAGGGCCAGAGGGCTTAAGCCTTGGTGCTTCTTTCAGCTCCTGGTTTGGACTCCCCGATACACGTTGCAATGAAAAGGGAGTGGTGCTCCCTTGTAAATTTGCTGAGCGGAGGGCTCGGCATGCTTCTCGTACTCTGGACGCGCGTTCTCGACGTTGAGAGCAGCCAACTTCCTCAAGTTGACGTCATATTATGATGCAATCTGCGCCGATTATCAGACATATCCTGGACTTTAGCTAGTGCAAAATAGCGCAAGGAAAAATGTGTGATGGGTTGATAAGCTGTACAAACGCTGTAAATCATTCTGGCCAGAGGAGCATTGCATCAAAACAATGCTGTCAACTTGAAATTCTGTTGGGACAAAACTGTATGCGGGAGCGGCCTACTCCTTGGGGGTGATGCACTCCTGTCAATGCTCAGTGCACGCTCTTGGAACCTTGCCTCCACTGAAACAAAAGTGTGAAACGCTTTTAAAATTTTAGGGTTTCTTTGGAATCTGCAGGCAGGGATAGTGGGATGGTCTGAGACCATGATTGAGAAACAGAGGGTACCAGGTTCAAGTCCTGCTTGGAAGTCTGATCTACTCACGTCCCACCACTTAGGAACTGCATCTGCGCCTTGATCCAAGAGGGTAGTGGCGTTCCTGCGGATACGGAAAACCGGGCCTTTGGCCGAGTCTCACGCGAACCGTGATTTATTTTTTGAATCTGCACCCGCTGAAAACATTCTGAAGAATGTTATCCATTTCAACATCACTCATGATGTGCCGTGTCTATTTTGGTGTGGTTTGTTATGTGTACATGTACAACAGATGGTGACTGACGTCCGTGACTTTTGTTCTTGTCGCAGTCATGGCTACAGCAGAGGTATGAATTGTCCACATGTCATTGCTTTGCCAAATTCTGAAAATTTTGTCTCAAAAACATCTTACAGTGTGCACATACATACACACATGTTTGCATGCGCACGAACACTCGCAATCACACGCACGTGCACACACACATACACACACACACAAACATGAATACATACACACATACACACACACACAAACATACACACACACACACATACACACACACACAAACATACATACACATGCATGTGCATACACACACATAATAATAATTATACATACACACACATACACACACACACATACACACACACACACACACACACACATACACACACATACACACACATACACACACATACACACACACACACATACACACACACACACACACACACACACATACACACACATACACACACATACACACACATACACACACACACATACACACACACACACACACACGCATGCACACACCCACACACACAAACATGCACACACATACACACACACGCACACGCATGCACACACCCACACACACAAACACGCACACACATACACGCACACGCACTTACTTGTACTTGTACTTGTTGCTCACTGCCAAAACTGGTCTCGTGGGTCTCCCGGGAGTGAGGAGAGAGACTCAAAAGGAATCTTGGAAAGATGACTCAATTGGCTCCTGAACCGCCCAACGGCCGACACCCCCTGAAATCCCCAAAACTCTGGGTGGACTTGAAAATGATCCCACTTATGGGCTCACCACACCTCAGTAAGTGGGTGAGGACAAGGTGCAGAAAAAGGATTGACGGCATCAGGGTATCCGTCCCGGGATCCAACTGCAGTTACCCCTGCCCCCAGTGAAGGTAATACTTGCTACTAGTGTGGGTGGCTAATTCAGAGTGGATCTGATATGCGTCACTAGCACTATTGATTACACAAGAGTTAATCTAGCCAGAAGCAGTCCATGGTTAACAGGTATGTATACTTCAAATAGAAAGTATACGAACCCTGAAACCAACAAAGGTGGCAGATACAACAATACACCATCATGCAGCCGAGCCTGTTGGCAACAGACCCAACACAATCAGGCATAAGTGTACCCACCAACCGAACTAGCTGGCACTCACGCACACACACACACACACACACACACACACACACACACACACACACACACACACACACACACACACACACACATGTACCCGCTCCATGCTATCATTGGATGGTTAAAACTTGTGCCAATATGTGTAAAGGGCCGTCTGGTATTATTGATTATCTTCAGCGAACAGTAACGCTTCAATGTGGCCTACCTCAGCCAACCAGGCCCCTGAAATGGCAGTGGCCAAACGGAAGCAATAAGCCCATACGAATATATCTGCAGTTAGCTAGGGCTGTCTCGTTCCCCGATGAACACTTGATCAACATAGCACAGATCTCTGGCAGTGCTAAAAACAAAAACAAAAAAAACAGAACTTGCATGGCACCATGTATGCTGCTAAGTACTGGTCGTAGCCAGGGAGTTGTAAAATACCGGTATTTTACGACTCCCTGGTCGTACCTTACTGGCAGCTTCTGTGATTCTCAGCTCATGGTATGCTAGCCATTGGCAGATACTGCTGGCAGATTTTTTGTGTTCAGAATTTGGTACTTTATCGGGACGCTTTCATGCATGTTTGGTATGTGGATAAAGAAATGGAGCAGAATTCAAGGCAAGGTGAAGTGCCTGCCATAAGTTTTATATGGTTCTGCCAATTTCACTGCTTTTCAAGCAGAATCTGCCAATTTTTTCGAGCATTATCCGCCAAGGTCGACTGTATGCACTCTGTGTGTTGTTATTGCAGAACCACTCGGTCAACACATGGCCATGGTCAAGCCAGATGTTCCGCAAGTGGATCCCACGCCTCCAAGCAGCGCTCAGCTGCGATGCAATTCGTGTTGAATGCTGTGCCAAGCGGTTGATCTCCGATGCGCAGAAGAAGGAATTGATGGCGATAAAAGATTGGGCCAAACACAATGACCGACTGCTAGATATGCTGAGCAGGGGTACAGCTGAGACTTTCCACACCTTCTGTAGTATTGTGCGTAGCACCGAACCTGAAGCAAACTTTTCAAAGTTCCTAGATGACATGAAGTCAGTGGATACCTTTGTTGGAGGTAAGTAGAAATGTTATCAGTCAGGTAACTGAGAGATACTCACAGAATTGTACATAGGGGGTGTAGCTCAACCATCTGTGGTGTAGTGACCATGTACCACCGACAACCTCATAGCCGCCATTTTGCCTGTTAAGACTATGTAGTAGCTATGACGACCATTTTCTGGTGTACTGACCGGACTATGCTGGCTATAGAGGAGCTACACACCTGCCTGTACATGTACAGACAATACTGCATGTCCTTGAGTTGCTTTGCTACATATCTATACAGTGCATATTGATGGCACCAACCTGCGTTGAAGTTTTGCAAAGGTGCTTGTCACGGTGTGTGTGTGTGTGTGTGTGTGTGTGTGTGTGTGTGTGTGTGTGTGTGTGTGTGTGTGTGTGTGTGTGTGTGTGTGTGTGTGTGTCTGTCCAACCGGTTGGAAGGCTACCCTATTGCCAAAGCATTTTTGGAAGTTGGACTAGTTTCGGCTCACAATCCAGTGTGTCGTTACTATATAGCTTTCATGGCTGAGGTTGTTGGTATGTCTGTTGGCCCTGGGTTCCCAGTACCCAGTTGCCGATGCTGGTTGGTAGAATAACTCCAATTTCACTTCAAGGTACCAGTGCATCTAGTGTCTGCTTTTATCAAAGCAGCGTGCTGTCTATACTGGTTACCCCAGCAAGTGTAGGGTGTGCATAGGTAACTGTCTTGGCCGTCCTATTCCGATGTACTCCGTGTGGTGTAGACCAGGTGTTCATTGGGGGGTCGATTCACATGGCTTCGCCAGTTGTGTGGATTAGACAGTTATCTGGCGCTTGTCTTGATCTGTTTCAATCAGAATCAGATCCGCTATCGTTGCTATAAAGAGAAAATCTGTGGGTGCACATCCAGTGCATTTGCAGATTTGCGTGCTTCTCTTGCGACGGGCGTATACATGGTACATGGTGTGTGTGTGTGTGTGTGTGTGTATGGTTGTGTGCATGCAATGAGGCATTTTGTGAGGCTGTGAAATGATTTGGCTATTTACTGTTCTCTGTGTCCTCTCTAACACAGGCAATGAAGATGCAGCAAATAGAGTAACTCGAAGTCAACCGGCTCGGTTCAACGGGAACCCACCACCATCAACCAGCCAAGCAACTCGATCTCCGCCAGCCACAGCACCCAAACCGACAAAGCCTGCTCTAAAACCCCAGGCGACTCACGCATCTCCCTCCAAGCCCACCGGCATCTCTGCAATGATAGCGGCCTTCAATTCAGCCGGCCAGGAACAGAAACTGGCTGGAACTCTACCTTCAAAACCTAGTCGAGTCCCCCAGCCTCCTACTCGCCCAAAGCCCGCCACTCCCCACAACACAGCAAGAACAGTGGAAACTAAGGATCCCACCACAGGTCACAGAGTGCAGCCGGTAGTGACTTCTGATCCTGTGTCTCCTCCACGACCACCGCTCTGTGACCTCGCACGACTAGCGGCTGGCGGTAACCAATCAATGGGCACTCAGGCGGGGACATCTGCCCCAGCTGATCCCAAGCCCTCTCCGAAACCTAGACAAGCTGCTCCTTTCAGGTCTGCTAGTGTCTCTACACTAGCATCTGGTTTTGAATCGGATAGGTACGAGGCAGTCCGACTGCCCTCGGATCACGTCCCAAAGCCCAAACCGCGCCAAGTGGCCATCGCTAGTGACAGGGCAGCTAGCTTGGCCATTAACCCAGCAATAGGTGTTGGCAAAGACCCGGGCGGACATGCAGTGCAGCATGTACAGCGGTCAGCGCCCCCAGCAGAAAGCTTATCTGCCAAGCTCATTGCTCCATCTACGACTGGACGCGAGTCGATTGCCAAGAAGGCAACAGGAGATTCAGCTACGCCTCCGCAGCCCAACTCTCTGGTAAGAGATATAATTATAAGTGACAGGAGTCGCAGTGTGTATTTACTTACCGTATTTGCCGGAGTATAACGCACACCCCCATTTTAAGTAATGTTCTGGCAATTCAAGGTATATCCGGAGTGTAATGCGCAGCTTAGATTTGAAAGCATTATTAATCATAAAGACAGTACGATAGTGCGACCATTGTCATAAAAAGTGCATTCGGGTGGCTTATGCAGGGTCAGAGGTGGCACACTTCGTAACAGTTTGATGCATTACACAACTTTTAGAAGTACAATCATGTTCATTTTTCTAAAATTTTCATATTTGGAGCATAGTGCGCACCAGCGATTTGGGGCCAGGAGTAATTCCTCCAAAGTGCACTCTATACTCTGGCAAATATGTTATATTGATATAATGGAAAACTGAAGTCTGCACAGAGTAGAATCGACATCAATCCACACTCGTTGCGTTTTTCTAGGGTGGTGAGTTGATGATCAGATCCATGAAAACAACTGTACACTCATATCTTGTTTTTCTGGGCGGTCCGGGACCGGGAACTTCCCGGAACTTTGAAATTTCTGTTACTCCGAGCCGCACATGTTTTGATGGGGACATGCGAGAGATATGTGTTTTACGCACAATGCCATTTCCTGCCACCAATCTGCACCAGCTATGACGTAATCGCAGAACTTCACCATGATAGACATCCATGCAGAAAAAGAGTCACACGTTGCACACTCTGGGTTTTATGTACTCTTGGTGCACATCCTGGGTCATGTGATCAAGGGAGTCGTAGGCTGTGGGAAGACGGCACAGGCAACTCTAACCCCAGGCCTGCCGGAACTGGTTCGGTTGGTCGGGTTATCACCGGACCAACTTTGTGGCCACCAACATTATGTTTACTGCTGAGGAAGGCATAATTTCCCTGCCAAATCACAAAAAAGTATGGAAGACTATGGTACGACCAGACCGATACTGCTTCTGGCAGTCCTGAGCCCTATATCTCTTGGGTTTCGACCCTGGGTGGCCGTTCGCAGTCACCCTTGAGAGGGGGACGATTTAAAATGAACACGTTATTGTCGGTCAGGATGTAACTTTGATTTCAGTGATTTCGGTAGAGAAACCAGGTACCTAAATTAAAATTAGATAACACCTAAAAGGGACTACACACGTAGAGTGCATACTGTACGTGAAGGGGAAGCTCGTCACCTAATTCTACATTTCACCTGAAACCTGGCAGGTCCCTGGTACCGAAAGTTTAATACACCTATAATTAGTGGTGTACACGGGTAGTCGGGTACCCGTGAGGACCTCGGGTAGTCGGGTACCGAATAGTACCCGAAAGCCCGAGGTCGCAGATGACATCATGTACAGTGCACGTGTACGTGTACAAATAATTCATGCATGTCTACCCAATGCGCAAGGGAAGGGGCTGGTGTGCATTGTGGTCTTACCATGGAAACATTACCCGATCGGGTACCCGTGCTACCCGTGGAAAACTACCCGGACCCGATACCCGAAGAAAATGCTACCCGACTCAGCCCTACCTACAATAACATGTTCTACAGTACACACACTCACATAATAACGTTGCTCGTCTGTGCTCACTTGAGATCAGTAAGTCAAGGCCACGGTCCCTGCTACAACAATGAACTGCTTGTGACGGCAGTAATGTCAGAATCATAATTTACCCTTTTGAACAGGTCCAGGTGCTTTTTCATGATCATATTGCAGTGCAATTACTTGCTGGTGCATTCATAAGTGGTGAGTATCACCAGCCTGTTCATTTCAATACATAGAGACTGGTGTTCAAAGAGCCAAAGACATGAGGTTGTGGTTCATTGGTAAAACAAGTTTTTATGACGTATCACAGCTTTCTTTGATCAGCATAGTTCGATTGATCTCCCCGAAGACCATAGGTTCTAAAAGTGTTATTGTTGTCCGTGATTTTTTTAGAACGAAACAACTCTTCAAGTGAATTTTTCACAAATACCTTTCTAGTAGGGTGAATTCATTGTCTTTTGGCGGATGTGGGCTGATTTGAGTGGGAATGTAGGGTTTGTTGTTGTTGTTGTTGTTGTTGTTGTTGTTGTTGTTGTTGTTGTTGTTGTTGTTGTTGTTGTTGTTGTTGTTGTTGTTGTTGTTGTTGTTGTTGTTGTTGTTGTTGTTGTTGTTGTTGTTGTTGTTGTTGTTGTTGTTGTTGTTGTTTTGTTGTTGTTGTTGTTGTTGTTGTTGTTGTTGTTGTTGTTGTTGTTGTTGTTGTTGTTGTTGTTGTTGTTGTTGTTGTTGTTGTTGGTGCTGCTGCTGCTGCTGTTGCTGTTGCCGTTGCCGTTGCCGTTGCCGTTGTTGTTGTTGTTGTTGTTGTTGTTGTTGTTGTTGTTGTTGTTGTTGTTGTTGTTGTTGTTGTTGTTGTTGTTGTTGTTGTTGTTGTTGTTGTTGTTGTTGTTGTTGTTGTTGTTGGTTGTTGTTATTTTTTGAATTCTTTTGTTGTTGCTGCTGCTGAAGCTTCCTCGAATAAACACCATTCAACTCAGCAGCCAGAAGATATTTCATGCTCACTTCATTGTGTGTATGACTCTATGTCTGTTGACTTTGCAGAGTCAAGCAGGCAACACAGGTCCATGGTCAAGCCAGGTGTTCCGCAAGTGGATCCCACACCTCAAAGCAGCGCTCAGCTGTGGCACGATCCGCACGGAATGCCTGGCCGAAGGGCTGCTCACCGATCCGCAGAAGAAGGAACTGATGGGAGTAGAATATGATTCTGCCAAACACAATGACCGACTGCTAGATATGCTGAGCAGGGGTACAGCTGAGACTTTCCACACCTTCTGTAGTATTGTGCGTAGCACCGAACCTGAAGCAAACTTTTCAGAGTTCCTAGATGACATGCAGTCGGTGGATGCCTTTGTTGGAGGTAAGTAGCAACTTTATCAGTACGGTGGCTGAGAGGTACTCACAGAATTCTACATGTCCAGAAAGGACTGTTGGATACCATTAGTACTTTGGTGACGTTCTGGGGAAACCGTTCATGGCTGGAAAAGAAGAAGCGAGGCCCTGGTTTTCCAGCCTCAATGCCACCTTGCGCAAGCCACTAAACTCCCCTGGCTTCAGCTGACCCTATTGTGAAATGTGAAACCTACCAGATGTTGGGCAGGGGAAGGTGGTG